CAGGGGTGTGAACCGACAGTCTGTAGAGTTTTCCATCTGGTGTGGATGAGTGATAGCCTGCTTTGACTTTTGCCACAGGTACCTTGAGGGCAGTGGTTGGTGCCCACCTCAGGGTATCAGTTGTCGGGCAGTCGTTGATGCTGAACCACAGCCGGGGTTAAGGTGGATTATCACTTACAGTGTAATCAGTTAGGGGATTCTGCAGACTGTTGATGGTTCAGCCTCCTGATGAGCCGGTGAAACTCCGATGAAACAGTTTGCCACAGCCCCTCGTTTGTTGTCCTCTTCTCCCTCCGTATACGTATATACATATATATAGCCAAACAGAGCTGCCCGGTAAACTATAGGCAGAGGGGAAGAACAGGACAAGAATTGAGGGGCTGAGACAAACTGTTTCGTCGGAGTTTCACCAACTCATCAGGAGGTCACACCGTGTATAGGAGCGCAAAGGCAAAAAAAGATAACCAAAAAGGAAAGAGGTAAGGAAGGAAAGCTCCACCTGTTCATCACCTCTTCCGTACAAGGCCGGCCACGTGGATGACAGGTTGAGCGCCGACTGCCGCCATCCCCGTGTGTCACAAGGACCAACTTGCAGGCAGCCAAAAGGCAAAGAGGTAAAGAAAAGGAGGAAACCAAACCTCACAGAGGCAAGAGAAAGAGAGAGGGATTCAGCCAAAGAAAGGACAAGGGAAGAGGATGGCCTATCAGTCAAACAAAGCAAATAACACACCCCATATTTTTCTTCGTTTTCTTCTTCTACTTCTTCTTTCGTCACACCATGTATCAGAGCGCAAAGGCAAAAAAGGGCAAAACAAAAAAGGAAAGAAGGAAGGAAAGCTCCGCCTACCGTGCAAACAGAGCTGCCCGGTAAACCGTAGGCAGAGAAGGAGAAGAGGACAACAAACGAGGGGCTGTGAATATATAAATTGGACCCAACATCTTTTCAGCACTCTCCTCCAGTAGCCATTTCAATTTTGCCAGATGCCTCTGTGCTTCTGGTTCTTGGTCGCTAGGGCCTGGGCATTGGAGACCAAGGGGCAACGGCGAGAATTCACACTGCAATGCGACAGAGGTCTGCTGCAAACCAAGGGTACAGCAGCAGGCCCCACCGGGGGCAATGGCGCAAATTTCACATCATTTAGAGGAAAATCAGGAAATACCACATCTTTGAGGAAGCAAAAACCAAAATTTTCCCTTTTTTTTTCCCCCCCTTTTCCTTACTTTCTTCTTTTGCATAAACCAAAACCTGAAAATTTGAGCAACTTCTTTTCCTTTTTTCCCTCATAAAAAGGGATGCAGTCTTGAGACCCAGGTACTGATCTGTGTGCGTCTGGACTCGAACTCAGGTCCATGTTTCAACAGTTCCATGGGTGTACCAACTGAGCTCGGCCAATTGGTGGCATTGTGATTAGAGAGTCTCATCCTTAAGCGCACAGGAAGCATCCCTACCGTTGTCCCTAAGGACTACTGGACCGTCTGTTATTTAGTTCCTTTTTTTTTTCTTTTTTTTTTCATTTTGCACTTTTTTTTTTTTTTTAATACGAAAGCCATTAAAAGCCAACAACCTCGAGTCGAGGCCGGGGACCTCACAATTCTACCCGGAGTTATCCTGGCAGCATCAGCCAGTTTAGCTTACGGCCCCAGCCGAACCGAGGACCAAATCACAGGCAGACCATCCAAACAAATGCCACTACATATAAACGAATTCAATCAGAGACAAAGCCTTACTCTTAACAACAGCTACCTCTCCAATTATCCTTATGACCACTTGTGACTATCTAATCACTACCTACCCTCCTACCAACGTCTAAAACGACGACCAGGTCTACACGGCCTGGTGGAACCCTCTGTTCCTCTATATCCTGGCACTCTCCTACTGGACCACTCTAACATCCTCCTTTTTTTAAAAAAACACAT